GTGTTACATTTTGTCCACTTTGTCTTACATTTTGTTATTACATGCCATTAAGTCGCCTGTAACTCATAGCAATCCATGCTATCACTCTTTCAACTGTTACTGATATGGAAGTACAATAAAAATTTGATTAAACTGAAGTATTATTGAAACATGGATAGGGTTGCTATGAGTTGCAAGCAACTCGATGGTACATAATAACAACATTGAAACAGGAGTACGCCGGGGAAGGAATAAGAGAGAAGAAATAAGATGGCATTCTTTCTGACCAGAATTCACTGTCTTTTTTACTAATTAGTCTTGAAAAATGTGGAGTTATTTGACAGGCCAGATGTTTCAGTGTGAGCCTTGTGTCTCATCAGTGAATGTGCTCTGTGTCCGCAGGCAACATAGTTGGATTTTTTTTTAATTCTATAAACAGTGTTCCAAAATATAACTAAACCCCAAACTGTGTTTATCTTTTTGGCTTAATTTCTGGCTTTCTATCCAGTCTAAAGTTTCTCTCTAGAGGAACTGAGTTTTATTGCACGTAGCTCTTCATACCTAATTGTAGTATAAACACCATTTTGTTTACACTAAACCATGTGAATTGCACTGTGTTTGAGTCTGTAAAATTTAACAAAAGCAACTATCCCTGACTCAACTATGCATGCACATTTATTTTTGAATTTAGGAGAAATAAACCTTTATTCTCTCCATTTATTTGGAGTAAAGAAGAATTTGTTTTTTGGAACATAGGAGGGAAAACAAAATGAAACAAAGTAAAACCAGTCTCTAATCTTTAGTATTTATGGCACCAGTTACATCAAGCCAAGAACTTTCAAGTATCTGCTGTGAAATTATTTTTTAAAAACCAAAAGAGAGCTGTGAGTTTTTATAAGGATGGAGCTGAATTTTTGTAGTATATGCTAACATTGTCAAAAAGAAAACTTTAAGATACTCTTAACAGTCATCAAAAAGAACATTTTATGATTTGCCTAATGAACTGTATTGTCAGTGATAGTATCCATATGTGTAAAGAAATACCTATTATATTTACTCATATATATAAATTGCTCTGTATATACACCAATCACTTAGGACATTGTTGAAGGAATTACATATTACTACCAACTTCTGTAGTCTAAAATTGATCAAATATGCAATCAAGAAGTATTAATAATAACTGAAAAAATAACTGATAATTGGAATGCAAAAGTTGGGAAAAAAGAAAGATTGACAGTTGGTAAACATAGCCTTGGTTACAAATGAAACTGAAAGATAACATGAAAGAATATTGTACAGCCAATGATTTATTCAGTACCCCTTTTATTTAAAAAAGCTGATGTAAATGGGGTCCAAACACATTGACCTTTTCTGATAGGTTACCGAATAATAAAAAGGCTACACCTGTAGAAGGATTTAACTCATTGCTAGGGAGACAGAAACTTATAGACCTTCCAGTGGGTTTGATAGAAATTGTACAGGAGGAAATTACCTGTATTTTTTTCTTTGGAGTTGTTGGTGGATTTGAACTATCCAAGTGTTGCCACTTTTGTGTTAACATCACAACATCTTATGGACTGAAATTCAATATCACAGTCAGAAGAAGGTCAAGGGCCTACTGTGGAACAGAACAACAGTGGCTCATATGCAATTCAAACTGAAACGGAAGAAAACAAAACCAAATCTATGATAGCCTAAATATGTGCTTGGGTCTAACCTACCTGAATTTCCAAACTATTCAAAAAATAGATTTGATGCAGTGAACACTAATGACAAAAGACCAGAGAAGCTGACAGCAAGCATATCATGTTTGAAGAAAGCAAAAGGGTCATTAAAAAAAAATAAAAAAAATACATATATATAAATTTTTTTAATGCTCTTGTATGTGGAGAAGCCAAAGCAAAGGGAAGAAGTGACAAAATATTTGGTCCTGAATAGAATATTTCTAAGGGCAATTCAAGAAGACATAGTAAAGTATTAAAATGTACAAAGAAGACTGGGGCTTGGTAAAAAAAAAAAGACAGAACATTCTTTATATTTTTCAAGCTGCAAGAACTGAAGGGGAAAAATATCAAAATCTCATGTTAAAAATACTGAAGGATTTCGTGGGTGGATTTTGTGAATGATTGAGGAAGGATCAAAAGAAGGCAGAAGAAATACACAGTCATTGTACTTACTGAAAAGCAGGAGAAGGATGAACATACTCTTCCCTGAAGGATTTGTAGCTTTGAAACCTTGTTGGAGGATCAGTCATGAACTGGTTCCCGTCTGATGACAATGAGTTTTTGAGTACTGAAAATAATTGGTGGACACAGAACCATGTTAAGAAGTGGCATGTGATAAAAAAGGAAAAAGGAAAAAGCCTATGCTTTGCAGAACGCACTGACAAAAAAATATGACACTAGGAATTGATGGGATAACAAGTAAGGAATTTTAGCAAACAGATATGGACCTGGATGTGCTTAGTCTTTTGTACCAAAAAATTGACAAGACAGATCCTTGGCCTGTTGACTGGAAGTGATCCATATTTATGTCTGTTGTTTTAAAAGTGATCCAGCAGAATGTGGAAATGATCAAGAAATATGATTAATGTGACATTCAAGTAAAATTTTATCGAAGATGTCTAAAAATGGCTGATGTAGTACGTAGAGAAAACATCTAGAAGTTCAAACTGGATTCAGATAAGACTGAGAAATGAGGAATCTCATTGGTAATGTCAGATTGATCGTGGTTAAAAGTAGAGAGTAGAGATATTGTTCAGTAGTTTCCACATCCAGTTGGATCACCTTTTTTGGGAGTGCAGACAAATATACGGACCTCTTCAAATCCAGGCCAGACAGCTGTCCTCCAAACTCCTGGCATAGGCTGGTTAGCACATTCAAGGCTACACCTGTTAACTGAAACATGTCATTTGATATCCTGTTGATTCTTGGGCCTTATTTTTTGCCAATGCTTTCAATGCAGATTCCGCTTCCTCCTTCATTATCATTGACTTCTGTTCATATGGCGTTTCCTGAAATTTTTCAGTGTCAATCAGTTCTTTTTGGTACAGTGATTCTGTGTATTGCCTCTATCTTTTGATGCTTTCTGGGTTATTCAGTATAGTGCCTGTAGCATCCTTGAATGTTGTGACTCAAGGCTCC